AATGGAGGTGCCGAACACATGGGCATTATGTGAGCTTTGACTCTGCTCTGCCATCATGCCTGGACTTGTCCACCTCCTACCTGAAGGCTCATGCCTCAGCCTCTTCCCTACCATGCTTGCCACCAAATCAAGTCCAGCTGCTCCCCAAAGAACTCTGTAGTGTTCCTGCTGCATAGTGGCTACTTGAAAACATAACTGTGGCCTTGTACATAACACATCTCTATTGTCTCTAGACAGATCTTCATTTTATTCAAAGATATTTGGTGTTACACTCTGCAACTAATCTCCTGTAAACTCTGCCCTTCACTTTTCATTATAGCAGAAACAGCAATGAGCTTGCTGCGCATTCCCCCAGCTCTGCCAGCTGATCACCAGGCACAAATCTGTAGGCAAAAATGGAGTAGGGAAGAGATATTCCAGGAGCAAATGCAATCTGCCAACTTGGACAGGGAGCACATAAGTGAGTGGAGCAATACACTGCTAGAGGAGATGCAAGTGGAGTGTGAGGAAAGGGAACTGTAAGTGAAGCACCAAGGGAAAGTCTTTTCATCCAGGGCGGCTGTAATGGACTGCATGGCGGCTCTCCAGGTTGCCTGCATGAACAGGCATCCCCTCCAGCCCTTGCAGACCACCGTTCCCTCCTCACCAAGTTCCCTAGGAGGCACAGCAGTCCCTGCACTACATGCTGTGAGACAACCGCAAGGTAGAGTGGGTGTCCAGGGCTCCACAGCCACAGTGAGATGAATTTACTGTGGGAGGAAGCATGAGCAGGTAAAGGAGCAGAGCCTCGCACTAGCACAGCAATACAAGCGGTGTGGCAAGTCAAGCCATTTTAGCAGCATGTGCAGGAACAGAAGGTTTCAGAAATATTCAGTCAGATTTGTGAAAGAGGCGGGTTACACTTTCCCAAAAGCAAGCATTTGTTACACTGAAACAAAGGATAATGTACAACCAGTCAGGATAGGTCCTGAACACTCCATTGCAATGCACTGATCAAAGAACTGGGAGTAGCTATTTTCCAGGCACAACCAGTCACTCATACCAGCAAAATCCTGTCAGAACCCAAGGAGGGGGGGATTACTCCCAAATAGAAAAGAGCGTTTAGTTGTGGTATTCGGAGTAGAGTGTTTCCATCAGTACATTTATGGCCACCCAGTAGTAGTGGAATCAGACCACAAACCCTTTCAGCTAGTGGAAAACCCTTCTAAGTGCTCCAGAAAATTTGGAGTATTTGTTGATAAGCCTCCAGCAGTGCTAGGCACAGATCAGGCAACTGAGGGGGATGATTACTGCCTTTCCAGCAGGCCTCAAATACAACACCCTCTTCCCAAGGAATGACTGCCCTTCCTCTACTGCTGTCCAGTCAATAGCCTGCTACCTGGATATATAGACCCCACCTGTGCAGCGTGTTCCTAATCAATCTCCTGGTTCCTGCTCTGGGTGCAGCCCCAGGGGTTAATTGGTGTTCCCCCACAGGAATAAGTATGGTTAAGGTGGCCAGGGTGTACATGCATCAGAGGCAGTAGGACATAGAACTGCATGTAAATGGAGGCAATCTTCAAGTTTCAGAAGTGAAGCTAATGGAAATCAAGGAGGCTTCAGAAAAGGACATCCAATCACAGCCAGTCAAGGGAATGATACTACTGCAGCATGGTTAGAAGACAAAAGCCTGTAGGAGTAAACTTACATTTTCAAATTGAAGATGAGCTGAGTGTGCAGGATGGAATTGTATTTCAAAGATAGAATCCAGTTGTTCCTGCCTTATTATGTAAAACTATCATGCCAAAAATACATCTTCCACATCTGGGTATGTACAGTTGTCTTAGATTATCTCAGTTGTGCATTTATTGGACAGGAATGAATATAGAACACTCCTTGATAGAAGCATGTATGAGCTGCCAGTCATTGGTAACTATCAGCAAAAAGAGACTGTTACCAGAAAAGATGTGCATCTGACCATGGGGAAAGGTGGGAGCAGATATATTTACATTTAAGGAAAGGCAGGACTTGATTTCAGTGGATAACTATTTAATTTTGGGGGGGAATTTGATGCTGGATACAAGATACAAGAAGCAAGTTAGTGAATTACAAACTAAAAGTCCAATTTGTGAGCTATGGCATTCTGGAAACTGTACGTGCCCACAACAGACCCCAACTTGCCTCAGAATAATTCAAGGAATTTTCCAGCAAATAGGAGTTTGATTACTGCACCTCCTCCCCTGCATAACCACAGAGTAATGATAAGGCAAAATCCACCGTGAAAACAATTAAGAGATTGTTAAGGCTGGTTTCTTGTAATTCTGACTTCTTGTTAGCATTTGACACACCAAAATACTGCATCATGGGGATACCAAAACAGTTCATGGAAGACGATGTATTGGTCTCCCAACAGATATCAGGGTGATTTAAGTCCCCCATGAGAACAAGGGCCTGTGATCTGGAAGCTTCTCTCAGTTGTCTGAAGAAAGCTTTGTCTACCTCATCCACCTGATCCGGTGGTCTATAGCAGACACGAACCACAACGTCACTCCTGTTGTTTCTACCTCTAAATTTAACCCATAGGCTCTCAACAGTCTCAACTTTTCTCCCTCTATATACTGGAGCATTGAGCAATCATACTTCTCTCTTACATACAATGCAACTCCTCCTCCTTTCCTGCCTGGTCTGTTCTTCCTGAATAGTTTATACCTTTTCATGACAGTGCTCCAGTCATGCGAGTCATCCCACCAAGTCTCTGTTATTCTGATCAAATAATAGATATTTAAGAGCAGATTAGATAGACATCTACCAGGAATGGTCCTGTGGTGAGGGCAGGGGCCTGGACTCGATGACCTCTCAAGGTGCCTTCCAGTTTTAGTGTTCTATGATTCTATGATTCTTTTTCTGCCATCCTATTATGTCCTTAATGTACACTCCAGAGCAGTTTTTCAAATCACTTCTTTATTTGTGCCTCCTTAGTACTTATGTTTGGGTAAGTGTCATGCTACCGAGGTATTCCATGTTTTCATTGATAAACTAAAACTTGGGGTATGTCTGGACTGCAGAGTTTTTTGGTATCCTGGAAAAGCTCTGCTGCGTCCAGGGAACGCGTCTGCTTTTTCGGAACAGTTTCCGAAAAAGCAGACACGTACTTTTGGCAGCCCTGTATTCCTCATTTTATGATGAAGGGATGTTCTGAAAGAGGAGGTTTTTCTGAAATTTGGTCCCGTGTAGATGGGCCAAATTTCAGAAAAGCCTCTTCTGGAGGGAAAAAAAAGCGGAACCAATGTGCATATTTTTTTCTGATAAAACTCTGCAGTCTAGACATAGCCTAGGTGTGGCTTTGTTAGAAGTAGTATGCAATTTGAATATAAAATAACAGCATGTTTAGGGTCTAATTTCTTCTGCCCTGTAACATGGACTTTCTCCTGAACAACTTTACTATAGAAGGGTCTTTGTATACTGGCTGTAAATAATCTTAACTTTTTGTTTCCCGTTAGCAATTCATTAAATTATGCTTTTGACATCATTGACTATATAACTGTTGGGCATCTGAAAAAAAAAACAAATTAAATAAATGCAATAAGAAGAAAGAGCAAATAAAATATTTTGCTACTAACAAGTAAAGCTGGATTTTTCAGGAGTGGGGGAAAATGTATTGACTGACTTTCTGATTTACGAATTTCATACCCACCCGACTGATTCCTGCTTCTCTGCAGTGTCCTGCAGTACAACTCTGTGCAGGATAATACGTTCTTTACACATTCCTTCCCCTGCCACTGCATCTGCATCCTTCCATGCCTGCTCTAGGATCTCTGTCTTTAAAAGGTAGAGTACGTCTAGACTACAGGGTTTTGTCGACAGAATCTGATGACAAAACTTCTGTCGACAAAGAGCATCTAGACACATTCAGTTCTGTCGACAAAGCAAGCTGCTTTGTCGACAAAACCCTGTAGTCTAGACACAATCCTACATGCAATAACACCTTCTGTCGACAGAACTCTGTCGACAGAAGGTGTTATGCCTCGTAAAATGAGGTTTACCAGCGTCGACAAAACTGCTGAGTTCTGTCGACGTTATGTCGACAGAACTCAGCGGTAGTGTAGATGCAGGTATAGTTTTGTCAACAAAAGTCCACTTTTGTCGACAAAACTCTGTAGTCTAGACACACCCATAGACTCCAGCATGGATCAACATATCAGATAGCATAGCAGATTAGAGAAGAGTATTTCAGAGTTTATTCAAAACAAACTAACTAAAAAAAACCAACAATGTATATAATCATGATGATTGTCTTTTACCTAGAAGTAATCAGACTAGCATCTGTAAACTTTCAAATTGTATTGACCTCTCAATATTTAAAATTAAAATGCCAGCTGTACTGCTTTAGCCTTCCCACCCACAATCACATAAATTCCTTCCAAGATATTGAATTAGTTTTCTATCTTTCCATAGAACATATTAAAGGGGAATGATAAAGAAAAAGTTTGTATGGTAAATACAGTGAGAGCACTGATTTTATGATGTTACAAGGGAGTTAGGGATATGATTTGAAGACCGAAATAAAGAATGCTTTGTTGTATCAAATTATATCCCTGCATCCAATTTTTGTTCTGATTCATACTAAATTTTGAGTGAATAATTCTTATGTAAAATGCTGGAGTGACAGCCAATTCAATTGAAGACCATTGTTTAGTCACAGAACTAGCACAGATAGTGTCAAACTCCTCTACACCAACCACCCTGCTAGTGTGACTTTAGCCCTTTTCTGGATGAACCCCTTCCAACATAAAGATGGAAGGTTAGTCTCTTTGTCATCTTCACTGAGTACTTCCCAAAGAGTTGAAATTCCATATAACTTTCAGAATACATCCATACTCACAAGTATCATACAATAAAACCTACCTTCAAAATAAATATTTATCACAGGTAGTGCAGTGTAAAAGCCTGTCTTAAAGACATAGATGACAAGGATTGTAGATGAAATAATTCTTACTTTTTTATATTCTCTTTTCTTCCAGAATATCCTTTTAATGCAACTGATAAGGTGTGAACCTATCTACAGATTGGACCCTCTTCACTATCATATCTGGAAAAGTTAGCAGAAAATATGGATTTGCAAACAACAGCGATTCTTAAGTGTTCATTATTCCAGTGACTGGATACTTTTATAAAACTGTTCTGCATCACTTGGAAATCTTAAAAAAAAAAAGTCCTATTCAAAGATCTGAGACATGGGGGAAAGGCTAATGGTCTTGCCAACAGGTTTTCTTTCTTTCTTTCTTTCTTTCTTTCTTTCTTTCTCACATCCAATTGAATTCTGACATATACTTGAGGTTTAGCAAAAAGCAAAATAAATGTTGATCACAAAGTATTTTTTGGGGGGTGGGAGGAGAGAAAATCTCTATTTGCTGAACTTGTTTTAAGTAATTGTGTATACACCTTTTTAGTTTTTCTCACTTCTACAGAATAAACACCTCTGTTGGTATGTTAGACACGAGCACTTCTTTTTTCCTTATACTCTCTATACCTGTCCTGCCTAAACCAAAATACTGCTACTTATCTGACATCGCCGCTTTATTTGACATTGGCCTTAGGTTTCAAGTTGTGCACTGACTCAGCTACTCTTGCTCTCTACAACCATATTTTGCCTTCCCCAACCCTCCACACTGCTGTCTCTGATGCTTTGGGATTTACAGCTTCCTGTTGCAAGAGAATTGTTTTAAGTTTTATAGACTTAATCATCTGCTGCACTTTTTGTCCCCAACTTTTGTGCAGAGGACAATAATTTTGACATTTGGCTGACTATGTACATGTGAACACTGTACATGCTGGGTGTGAGTCACTGTACATGCTGGGTGCATCCTTCTACCTGAATCCAGTGAGAACCTTGGCCACTGAGCTGCTCAGAAGGGCTCCAGAGGTACAAATAAATAGGCCCTGTTTTCTTTTAGGAAGATGAATTCTGGACTTTATTTAATTGTGACATAACTAAAACATTTCTCATCTAAAATTTTATTATTTGTAGTGAAACTGCATTCAGATATGTGTCAGCCTCTGTTCTTCAATCTTCTGGATTCCTACACAATAGATTTTTTGATTATAGCATCAATTAGAAAGTATAGAGCTGATTTAAAATTGTTCATTTGCACATGATTACATCCATTTGATTTTAACAGCTTCTCCCATGTGCTTTTTTTGTGTAGTCATCTTTACAGTTTAATAATCTTTTATTGCTTCATTGGCTCACCAATAAAAGGTACCCATAGTAGATGGCACAGTCTTTTCTATTTAATAAAAGGAAGTAGGGAAGGTAGTGCAAATAGGAGCTTCTAGACAATGGAAGTTCATCCAGTCTTTTCAAGAGCCTAATTTCCCCTCTGGACACTTACCTACAGATGCTCAGATTTTCTTATGTGCATCTACTCAGACCAGATGGAATAAACAATATGGATCACCTTGAAACAGATGCCAAGTTTCAGAATGTAACCATGTTAGTCTGTTTCAGCAAAAACCACACCACTGAACAGTGCACCAACCCACAGAAACCATCCTACCAATGCTACAAGAAGAAGGAATCTGCGTGGACTCTGCCTGAAGGTCAAAACAATGGATTTGACATCTTCCTAGAATGCTTCTGCTGACATGCAGAGGCTGAAATTATAGACAAGCAGCATGACTTGCCTCATAACCTCAGCTGTGCAGACTGCAATGCCATCCACAGCCTCAGAAACAACTCTGACATTATAATCAAAGAGGCGGACAGGAGATACTCTAGTCATCATGAATAGGTCAGTTTATGAACTAGAGAGTTCTAGGCAGCATTCCAACACCACATTCTATAGGCCACTACCCTCTCATCCCACTGAGGAGCTTCCAACATTTTTCTTTGACATAGTGTTCTTAATAAGTATTATATTTCTGACTCTGGTAATAATATGCCATATTTATTTGCAAGAATCTCTTCTAAATCATTCCAAACCCTATTGAATTTTTCTAACTAAAACACATAGTGAAATGGAATGGTTTTCACATGGTATCAACACAAATGGAAGGTCCAAGTTCAGTGGTAATTCTCAGGAGATTCTGCAGCAACAGTTCTCCCCCCATCCCCATTACTGGTTCTAATGCAAGTTGATAGACCATGACAAAGCTGTGCTTTAAGTAGGTGGTGGGGGGACATATAAAAAAAATCTGGGCCAGTCATCTCAGAGTAGAAAGGGCAGCGAACTGAGAGTCGATGAGGCTTAATGAATAATTGTTGGTAAAGTGCTGTGAAATATCTGATGACGGGTGCAAACTAGTATTATTGCAAGCAATACCAGGATAAAATTGATGACAGCTCCCTCAGTAAATGCAGCTTAATGGCAGTCAAGCTAGATAATCTGCCTTTATGAAAGAGCTCGTTGAAATAACAATGAGACAGAAAAGTGATTGCTGCTTTTAATAATTTATATTACTAAATGTCTTAATGGTGTTTCAGTACAGAGCATCCTCGTGATCAGGGGGTTCTCGAAAGTGTGAGGCTACCTGCTGACAATGAAACGGGGTAGGCAAAACTTCACTAGGGGATTTTATTACTTTGGGGAGATGATTGACCACAATGAATAATGGCTCAAAAGTAAGAGGTAAATACAGGTCAATAGAAATAATGGCCTTAGAATTTTTCAGCATTCTGACAGCTTATCATTCAAGCAGAATCAAATGTTTCCTGTAGGGTGCTTTGCTCTTTCCTTTATGAAATCCTAATCTTTAGAATTGTCTAGATGAGTTTCACCATTACTATGAAGTCTATAGGTGAAGCTCCTGCTTGGGGAGGCAAACTCCCCAGCCAGTGGCTCTGCCCAAATCCCACCACTGTTCTGTCCAGGCCCTTGCCCTTTCCCACTATCTCCCTCGTCTCTTCCATTCCCCTCCCTGCTCACCTCTTCCAGTTCCTGAAACCAGATGTAGCAAATGACATTTGAACAAAACACTGTTCCAAAATTTGTAAAGAAAATGGAGCATGTTTTACGCTGCATGCCAGTGTGTGAAGACTGGACATGTAGAACGTACCTAATTAAAAACTCCAGATTTGGGAATAAAAAAAGTCAGTCACAGGTTTGTCGATGTACCTCGAAGCCTGTCAGAGATTTATTTGCAAAGGGAAGGGAAAGTCAGCTGTCCAACTGAGCACAAATTTAATATTATGGAATATACGATCCAGCTCTTCTCTGGTTTACATTTACTTAACCAATATTTCTAAGCTGATTTTTATATTTTAAGGAAGAGTCTCTCATTTTTTTCAAGTGCAGAATAAATTTTGTTATATTCACAGAGGCAGGTATGGACATGAACCATGAAACAACTGTAAACAATCTCTTGGCAGATGTTGACAGTATAGACTTGCTAATACAGCTGGTGTGGAGGAGTATATTCATAGGAACTTGAACTATGGATTAGGGAAAATGCAAATCCGTCGACGGAGCCATGTAAACTAGTTTACCCGACATAGTCAATGAAGCAGGGATTTAAATAATCCCCGCTTCATTAAAATAAAAATGGCCACCGCTCTGTGCCGGATCAGCTGATTGTCAGCACAAGACGGCGGCCATTTTTATTTTAATGACCATTTTTATTTAAATCCCCGCTTCATTGAATATGTTGGGTAAACTAGTTTACATGGCTCCGTTAACGGAGCCATGTAGTCTAGACATACCCATAGAGATGACACAAAGACAAACTCTTTCATCATCTTTGTTAGCACTGTTGGCTATAGGCCTCAGCAAAGAAACATCTACTCAGTTAAAAAGAATTAAAAAGGAGTTTGATGTTAAGAGTTAAGATCAATTACCATAGCTAATAATTAGTAGCTAATGATTTAGCAACTAATAATACGGCCCATAATAATACATGGTTTTGAAAGTAATAGGTACAGATAATAATTTAAGAATATACAGCATGCAAAAAGTAATTCACTTATCCCACTTACGTGAATGTTTAGTGTTTTCTGCCATCAGACAAATAGGAAAATATATGTTAATTGAATGATTGACACTAAGTTTTTTAATTAAAAAGCTAAATAAAGCTACGAATAAAGCAACTTTAACAAAACAAAATTATAGGAAAATACATTTTGAATCACACTTGAATTGTGTAATTTTGTCAGTGATTTTATATTAATTTTAATCATTGTTTTCCTAGACTAACTGAAATAGATGCTAATTCCAAAGTCAAAATTTTTGTGAATTTTGGAGTCAGGTAACAAAAACCTTCCTTGTTCATTTATTACAACCATTATTTTGTCTTAAACTTTCCAATTTTAGACAGTTTTCAAGAATCACAGCAAGGGAAAAAAGCACAGCAAACAATGAATTTAGAGTGGATACAAATGAAACTTCTTATGAAGGTTATCGACACTTAATACCATTTCATAGTGAAATATGGGGGCTAAATAACTAGGGTCTGGTTTAGTCTAGTCAGTTGTGTTGTAATCTAAATTCAAATTCAATCCAATTTCAAATATGTTAGAAAGAATAGAATTCACTCGTATGCAGCAGAAGCCAAATGTTTTTCTATGATGCAACTCTTTGGACCACAATAGATTTATATAAGATGTGTCTTTGGCATATGGTTTCTAGAGAAGATGATTTAATTATTCACAGAGGTAGTCTGTGTCATTAGAAATGTAAAATGCTTGTATAATCTTCTTCCATTTAAAAGAGCTCCTTGTAATAATATGCCTTTAATATCATGCTAGATTGTCCCTGGTTCTTGCACTTGTGCAAGCTTTTTTCCACCATAGCACCTCAGACTATGCTCCATGCAAGGACCAGCAACCAGAGGAATTCAGAGAATATTTCTTCCTTCTACCCCACAAGGCACATGGGATGGAGAGAAAGATCTGTCAGATATGACTCGCTCCATTTCCCCCCTCCCTCAGTGTCAGACCCTGATCAACAACATCAAAAAGCATTCTGTGATGGTTTCCCTTCCCCCAAGCTTTATGCAAATTTGCTACTGAATATAAATATGCATAACTTGGAGATGCTTTGGACAAAGTATCTTATGTCACTATCAATTTCAGTATTACAGTCTGCTGGATCTGTATAACCTGTTTTGGTGCATGTATCATTCTTGTACATAAAGTTAGAAATCTGAAGCATGAGACTGTTTTTATAGTTTCAAATGTGCTAATGAAAGCCATTGCTGGTGCTTCCAAAGCTGTAATGA